TAAAGTTTGAGTTCTAGTTACTTCATAGAATTTGCTTGACAACTTAATTTTTTCGGAGGACCTGAAAAGAAAGACTTTTTCAAGGCAAGTATCATCTCATGTACATTTAAAAATGCATTCAATTTCAGTGTTCTCAGTTGTGATGTTGACCATTAGTGGACTTGTACAGACGTTAGGCTACAGCTGATGGAACATGTTGTACTACTACACATAGCTAATGCTATTCATATTAGCAGTGTAATTTGGACATAAAACATGTATCTACTTCATCTATTGTATCCAAGATAGACAGTGCAATCTCCATAGAAAAATAGTTCTTTGAACATCTTGGTCAGCATTCGAGTCTGTCACCTATGTTTTTAAGAACTGCAATTTCAGCACTAATATTTATGGAACATTTGCCTCACACAGAAACTGAAAGCATACCCCTCGCTCACTACAAGACTTTGAAGAAGAGCTGCTGAAGAGGTATGAAAGTTTTCAAATACAGATGACTACAGTGATACAGATTTACAAGATACGGAAGTTTCTGTTACTGATTATGGTCGGGGTGATAATGATGTGGGAGATCTACCAGCCCTTTTAGAAAGAAACCTTTCTTTGTTGTTTCTAAAACTGGAGAGCATTTATCATGTGTCTAACAGGTGTATTGATGAGGTTGTTGAAGAGTTACATTTGATCTCACATTCAGCAACAGTCCCCATCATCCGAGACAATTTACATTCCTGTTTGAGGAAGCACCCGTGTGAGATTGATACGTGTTGTGTCAGACATGGTGACTGAGCTTTGTAATGCCCTGGTTTTTCAGAAGCTATTCCTCCGACTTGATGGACTGAAAACCAGTGCCAAAGTGACTGATCTCAAGAACACTATTTTATGAGGATTCTTTTTCATTTTAGAGCACTATCAGATTTTATTTTGATAATATTGTTTTGTATTTTAAAGTCCACTAAAGAGGCTACAAAACTAATAGTCTGAAAGAAAAGGGAACACAAGACACAATGCTATGTGTGTTATATGTGATTGTTTCTCTGTGAAGTTGCTTAATGTGCAAGAAATATTGTATTAACAGTTATTTAAAGATGTTTAAAGAAATAGATATTTTAGCCTTATAGAATGCTACAGTTTTTGTGTTTTGGAAATGATTGTTGTGGGTTTACTCATGTCATTATGCAGCTTATGCATAAAAATGTTGACTGTTCAATACATAACTGCAGTTATGTATTAAAGGCCAGACAATTCTGTCTTTAATTTCTTAAAGGTTACTATATGAAAAACATTAAAAAGCTAAAAAACTAAGGATCTATTTGGAGCAAATAGATCTTTTGAATCGTCAACTTAAAAACCTGTGTTAATGATCATTGAAATCAAGCACAAAACACTTGAAAATACCTTTCCAACAACTTGCAAAAAGTACTTGGAACAACTTAAGTAATCAACTTAAAAAATGTGTGTTTATTCTAACAATTTTTAAGTAAGTAGTACCTTTGATTGCAGATGAAAAACGAATTCCCCTAACTCAATGTTGTTTGTCGGTTAAAGATCATTTCTCTCTAAGTTGCTGTAACTCAAAAGAGATCAAGGCAAACTGTGCGTTACTTTTTTTTGTTTTTAGAGTGTAATTTATGAACAGACCAATCAACTGACAAGGACAAAATAAAAATAAAAGTGATTGAGTTGGAAATTTGAGTTGTCCTTGTGTCCTTTGGAAGTTGAAGAGGGAGGACTTGACACCAACTTAATCAAAATATAGAGAAATACAAAATATTACTAAAAGTATTAAATAATAAGTTCGTGAAATGTGTGCATTATAATATAATCTATAAAAATATGCAGGCCTGTCACTTCAACATTTGCTGCTCAATCAATTTCTTCTACTCCAGACTGTGACTTCATATTGAAAAAGATGTCAGAATAATGTAGAATTATCTTTTTATATATTTCTCTCCAACAAAACATATGCAAATAAACATGATATTTTGCACTGGCCTAGATATACCTCTACATACTACAGTCCATCATCTTTGCTTATATGTATTTTTGTTTCTGTAAAGGAAGTAAGTCTGCAACAAAACGTCTATAACCACAAAAACGAGGGGGCCGTAGGTGTTAGTCATAGGGTGTGAAATTACCGGCAGTAGCCATCTGACAGTTGATGGTAAATTTAGTCTGTAACTGTTGTATTTGTTTCTACTCCAGTCACTGGTCGTTCTGTGCATCGTGTTCTACTGTGACAACTATTTAGATGATTCAAGAGAAACAGTATCTGGAATGTGGGTGAAAAAAAAAAAAGGTGTTTCCCAGCCCAGTTAGATGCATTCATGAAAGATACTAAAATCAAACCCTAAAACTGTCTGAAGTACACATCTGATGTGCGATTACATAATGCACCAAGGCACGCGGAGTGTGCTGCGTGGACTTACAATTCAAAGACCATGTAGAGCATGCCATCAGAGCTGTAGGTCTCCAGCAGCTCCACGATGTGAGGGTGTTTGAGCATGTGGCAGATACTAGCCTCTCGCTTTAGATCTGGAAAACAGAAATCAGAAATAGTGAGGGTACAGGGGGGTACAGTGAGATAATGTTTACATCCAGAAAATACTAAAACTAAACTCTAGGGTGATACCACTTCAGTTGCAGGTTGTGAGTGCATGTGTTGATCTGATTTTTATCACATTTAATGAAAATAATTTAGGTATTTTGGCAAACTGCAAGCAGCTGTTATAATCCAACATTCTACCTGTATGTGAATGGCTCATACCCAGTAGTTCCTGTGTCTTGCATTGAGTGTGCAAAACAATATCTCTCATTTTCCCAAATACTTTAAAAACAGGCTAAATGTCTGCAATGAGAACCAGATGTGGCTGAATGCTACTCCCTCCCAAGCATAATATGTAGATCATAGAACGGATGAGGGAAGTTATACAAATATTTTTGAAAGCTGAAGATATTAATATATAAAATACCAACTGAACCACACACCAGAACAAACATACTTTCAGCAGAAGGTAAAGACTTGAACTTCTGTCATTTTGTATTATTAAAATATCCATAGCAAAACTTAAATTCATAATATACAAACCAAAAGAGAGAAAGAAAGAAACACATTTTCTGCTGAGAGGCTTGTTTGTGGTTGGTGGGTGTTTTGTTAAATCCTTCCACATCCCTGGGTGGTGAGTAAAGGAGATGAAAAGTGACGAGGACGAGCCCGGCATGACACTTTCCTCCTTTCAAAACCTTGACGTGTCTGTAATACATCAACTTTACCAGCAGAGGTGGCAACAGAGCATTACGTGTGCAGACTGATATTCAAAAAAGTGAGTCTTAACATGTTTAGGTTAACATGTTGGTAACGGGTAAAACTAAAATACCATTTAAATGGTACGTTTACATGCACATCTGGCCCAGACTCATTTAAACCACCTCCTCTCTTTAACACTACATCCACACTGCACTGCGAATACAACTCTCGTCTTTTGACTGCCTCATTTAAGACACCACTGAAGGTGAAACGCTGCTAAGCGTCATGGTCTCTCATCCTTTTAACGAAATAGAAACACGCAGCATTGAGTGACTAACAAGTGGTGAGACGAGTGGTCAGATAGAGACGCAGACTGCCGAGGCGGCCTGACAGACAGAGATGTGCTGCTGTTGAGCTCCTCACTCTATAAAAACCTCATTTACACAGTGCACTCCCCATCTGCAAGTCAACTGATCTGTGTGTGTCTATGTGTGTGCTCATTGTGTCGTGACAGCCCCGGATCATTATGCAACACGGAGAAATGACGCTGTGTCCCCACTACAGAGCCCCCTTTCTCCCGCTCCTTTGCTTTCATTATTTCTCTCCTCTTTACTCTCGTCCTTGGCCCATCTCATCGAGTGTCTATTCTCCAAGTTAACAATGATGGCCAGTGTCCGCACGGCAACAAGGAAACCGCTCAGACAGAGTAGAGAGGCCTGGATCAGACTGAATGAAGCCAGTGCCGTTCACTGGGGCAATTATAAATCAATTCTTGCAGGGAAGGTCTGAGGTAGATTTCGCTTTGTACAGCAATGTTAAATAATTTCACTCTGGGCTTTGTTATTTACTGAAAAGTGTGGGTAGAGCAGCAGGAGGCAGGACATGATGCATGCAATCCACTGCAGAAATCAAGTATTTATGTTTACAGCACATTGACACCGACTTCTGTCTTTATCGATAATAGCTCTCAAACCTCAATGTCTTTCCAAATTAACCTACGGACGTCGGTAAATGTCTGAAAGCAGCTATTCTTTATCGTGGTACTGATAAATTATGTTTCAATATGCATCTATCTGATAATATTGCACTAATATAATGCACTTTTCATTTTGTGTTTAAATGCATACTAATAGAGCTTTAAAAAAAGGTGATACATGTACGTTTTTGCTATCACTGCAAAGCCGAAGTTAGCATTCACAGCTGTTAACTTAAAAGTCTTAAATCCAGAAAAAAATAATTGTAAAATGTGTCATACATAAGAATAATTAAAGTTAATACCAAAGGTATAAGGTTTCAGCATTAAACTCAAAAAGCAACAAAACAAACATGTTCAGTGGCAAAGAAAACAAATTTCTGCAAACCCACACACTCACTCATTTACTCAGAACCCTCAAACTCTTGATTACCCTATTCATCTTTTTTTTGTACAACTCCCCGACAAATATGTTCATAAATAACTGAGGATGTTTGTTATTCTGCTTGTAGCTCAGGCCCAGCCAGCAGCAGTTCTCCATTTCACTCACATTTATGCTGATGCATGTTCTTTCCTAATAAGCTAAAGTATATGGTGTGAAGAAACCACTCTCCAAACCTGGCTGCACTTCACTTCTCTACCTTGTCACATTGAGTGGCCACTTGCTTATTTCTTTGGAAAAAGGTGTTTTTTTTTCTGCACCTTCGGTGAATCTTCCCACTGACACAGTTAAAGCTTCGGTCCTGATGCAAATAAATGTGCACTTTATATTTAGTATCTGGTGCATGTCAATGTCATTTCTGTTTTTTCAAAGTCACATATTTCTGCCCAAAGGAAACTAGATATTTCAGGAAGAATAAATAATATAATCTGTAATACAGAAAAGTTTGGTAACGTGTACATTTTTCATTGGTGCGTCAAAAAACAGAAACATTTATTTTGTTTATTTCTTTGCACAACAAAGGCAGCATTAAATTAATGTTGAGGAGATGCCGAGCAATTTTTTATTTTGCTTTTGCAATGATGACACAAGTGTCCGATTAACATACTTCTGACCGGTTTTCAAACACTTTTTAAAATTGTTATGAAGCTTAAATTCAATCAAACAAGAGTAATTAGGAGATGACATATCCCCCAAGCAAACTCAGACTATGAAAAGACACTACTTCATTGGCAGATTAACAGAATTACATTCAAGTTTCATGGGAGTTTTTCACAGCAAACAAAATTATTACAGACGGACAGATGGACGTAGGGATCGCATTATTTATTACAGGCTTTAAAGTCCGATAGAGAACAATTTATTTATTACAATCATATAAAACAGATAACAACTGGAAATCCAATTTACCGCCATACATTCACAGCTACATCTTCATCCTTCAGGGAGATTCTTGTCACGGCAATACCACATGCAAGCTAAATATTACAGAGCTTGCTCCAACTGACCAGTAACCACAGGGTGAAGTGACTGAGGAAACTCGCACTATTTCAAACCTCTCCAAACGGAAGAAAAGCTTTTCGACGTAGGTGGTTTATTTTTTCTAGTGATTAAATTTAGAGTCTGGATCATGATTGACAACATGCTAACCAAAGTTATTTAGAGCGTAGACTTTGGTTTGGGAGACCTTTGTGAAAGTGTCCACATTTTCCGGTTTCTCCTCCCTCGGGTCATTTCCTTGTCTTGCTGTTATTGGCTGGCATGCTAATCTCTGGCTGGGACCTCACAGATGGCACAGGGTGAACGCCAAAATTACCACCAACACACACGCACGCGCCACACACACCTACCTACCTATGATCTTTGTCTCTATCTCTCTCGCTTTCTCTCCTACATGCACACTTAGAACACACACACCCCAGCATGACAAAGCACAAAACCACATGATGAAACATGGCATGCGCCGACATCACAAATACTCACCATCACAATCTAACCAATATACCATGACAAATGCTTACAGACTTATTGTGGTGTGCTAGTGCCATTATACACCCTTGTATGTGACTTGATGTTTGAGATCCAAGCCAAACAGTATTTAGGTTAGGTTATTCCTAACGTTTTATTACATCAGGTAAATCTGGTGAGTGTGGTTTGCGTTACAGCACAGATAAGTGTTCACAACTTGAAAGATGTAAGTAAGACTGTTTGAATGTGTGATCTCTAGCTATGGTGCGTATCCTCTCTTGTCCTGATTCTTTTAACTGCCCATCTGGTGCTTGAGTGCACCACAACCACCGCTAAGATTTAAATGCAACCACGGTCTTGAACCGCGTCTGCTGTGTCTGCTCACCCTCTGTGCTGAGGCCGGGGCTTGAGGTGAAGCTGGCCACATCGACGATCTTTACGGCGAACTGCTGGCCCGTGTCCCTGTTGATGCAGCGCCGCACCACGCTGAAGGGACCCCTGCAAAACATAGACACGCTTGAGTTAATCGCAGACAACTACAACAATACACAAGCACAAATCTCTGTGCACACATGATTTCTCAGATTCAAACACACAGGGATAGCTTGCACTTAGCAGAAACATATGTGCACATAATCACAGGCACACAACCACACACACAGCATCCTGGTGCAATGGGCAGACAGTCTTTAGTATTGTGGATTTTCAGTGGGTGGTTATGCATCGTAACCTCTGTCCTCATGCCAGTGGGAATTATAGAGCAGTGGTGTGCTGCACAGAAGTAAAGGCTAAAATAAAAGCTTTATTATTCAGACCTGAGCGAGGGAGACCTACCCTTCCATGTTTATTTCTGTTGAGAGGTGGCACTAGGGCTGACATATGGAAGCTTTAGGGAATGATATCCCCTCCTGCGTCCAACAGCAGTGCTCAAGATTTTGTGTTAAAGATGAACAAAGTGACTTCCCAACCCAAGAGGAAGATTTCTAATAGATTTTTTTTGTGTTTTATTACTTACAGGACAAAAATATTCTCAAGGTTTAAGATACTTTAAATCACTCAAATCAATAATCAAATCAAAAAACATATAAAAGATAAAAGAGCAGCTTTAAATTGCACTTGCAATGTATCGTGTTCTCTATATAAACAATGTTTTTGGGTAGCATAGGCAAATAGTTTTATCCCTCACAAAACATTGTGTATGTTCATTTTACATTTCTGTTGCATATTTCTTTTAAAATGAGGCTCAATAACCATAATATCAGAACAGTACATTCAAATGATGTCAAACAGTTTCAGAAAACTACTCCTCTCACTTCCTATCAAGAGTTAGGTGTAGGATGCCAAGGCACAACAAATAATTTGACAACTTTAAAGACTGTTGACTTGTGGATTAAATCCCACACAAAAGATAAGAATCACTTGAAATTAACAAATGAAGTTTTTTTCACTCTAGAATTGTTGTGTAACTACTAATCAGATATTCTGTTGAGTGATTAACAGATTAACTACATACTGGTTTGTTGTATACAACCCTGACCTTTACTACAGACCATAGACTGTATATAAAGGCAGACAATGCGTCTCCACTTTCTCCCACTACCCAGAAATAAGGCCAAGATTTCCAGGATACAAACGCAGCCATCTCACACAATCTGTGCCAGAGTGAGAGAAAACAGAGACACGTTGTCCATCCATACTACAGTCTACAGTCATACCTATTCACACATCTACTCAAACCAAATAAAGTGGATCTCCACACAGGACAAGTCCATGTGCAAATTCTAATACCTTTTACTTCCCTGGTCTCTGTATATAATAATTATTTCTCACTATGCCAAAGCAGCTAGCAAGAGAAGAAATCAGTAGAAAAGTGGCGGGAATGAACCCTGAAAGCCGAGACATTGCACTCCTGGCTCACTGAAAGTTACACACACACACACAAAAGCCTGCAGTGTTACAGCTGTCTCTACTTATCCTGAAGTCTACAATACGTAAAGGCGGAACCAATACTATTGGAGACACACACATATCAACAGATGACACATGCATGCACACAAACTTAAAGAAGCAAAGTTGATAGATAGATACTTTATTGATCCCGAAGGAAATTCAAGCATCCAGTGGCAGTAACATACATGGCCATTAACAGGCTTTAACTGAATAAGCTAATGAACTTGCCGGAGCCGAAGCAACAGTAAAAGCGAACCACTTTACAATGTGTTCAGCTGATTCACTCTCCCATTTGTTTCTCACATCTGCTGTGATGATTAACCCAAACAAACGTAGGCAGCATGTGCACACACTGGGTCAAGAGAACCCGTAAAACACGACACTCCTCCATTCAGAGTCCGCAGGAATCCTGCAGACGATCTGAAATCCCCCCGTGACCTTTGCCCTGCTGGGTTAATGGGCTGTAGCAGCTGGTTTTCCCATTAAAAAAAGAGTCTTGGGGGTGAGGGGTGTGATTTAAGTGCATGCGGTAGCTTCTGACACCCCTGTACTAACTTTACAATCTTTTCACATCTGTGTTTGACTGGTGAAGGTTTGGAGTCGAGTCAGAGGCTTGTATCTTCATGGATACAAATGATACAGTGAGGGTACGACCGTCTTTGCACTGATCTAATGTGTGTCAATAAAACTCATTACTGCCATTAAGCAATGGGGTGGTGTGATCCTGCCAGGTTTTATGCATCAACCCCATTGGTAATCTTGGCTGTAAATGCATGAAGAATCAATTTGTGAATGAGGCGATGGGGCCACTGTTTAATTTAATAAATTATAATGAAATTAAAACATTAAATGACCATTCATCCCTGTACAGTATAGCTATTATAGAGGCATTTAAAGTGAGCAAGTACGAGAGAGACCAACAAAGAGTATGTGTGTACATCTCAAAGTGAGGAACCAGAGAGGCTGCATGCTGCACTGACATCACCACAGCTGTGCTGAGTGGGCTCATACAAAACGCCCACACATGTCTCACATCCGACAGTGGTGCACATCAAACATTAGCCCGGAGTGGCAATCTTTGCAAAGTGCTCATTGGTTCATTTCAACTCTCTCCTCCGTGTAAATCAAAGAGTGGATGCTAGGTTAGATTTTTAACATCCAGGCTGGCCATGAGCCGAATTTACTCCCCGCGCTGCTTTTTTTTTTTCCTCTCTCCTAAACAGGGCCAGGACGCATCTGTAGCTGCAGACTCAACATCACCAGTACTGCTCTCCTGAGAACAACGATCTTTGCTTAAAGCAGCATTTTGCTCTTCAGCTGTGGCCAGCAGCTAGTATAATTCACTCAGTTAGTCTGTCCTTAAGATTTTGGGGGGGGAATGTTTGTGCAGCTGTGAGATACAGGAACATGGTTTGTAAGAGTTCATCAGGTTGGGAAACTACTTGTGCTGGGCTCTTACACCAAGTCAGGTAAATTGCATCTCATCTGGCCTTGTCACAAGGTAAATTATCATCAGTAGCATAAGCTGCTGTGAGAATACAACAAGAAAAGTCAGGAAAATTCATAGCGAGCGAGTGAATGCATCGGTGACGTTTCTAGCACGAGATGGTGGTGAAACTGGAAAAATAAAAATATCTTGGGATGAAAAATAGGAGCCATTCATGTAGGAGACGCAGATGAAGATGTTAGCTTGGAACGACAAGGAGAATCTCCCAGACATTTTCGGGAAGCCTGTTCTCTAAAAACCCCACTGCATTTAGTAAACACAATATCATATCATTTGTAATTAATGACACAAGGAATTCAAAAGCGAATCCAAAAATAATTACTTGTACTTTAAAATTATGAATTCAGAGCTCTAACTAAGTTAGTGATGCCAGAGATAGCAGTGGCTTTTCCTGATCAGTGTTTTGTGCAAAGCAGTGTTTACATCCATGTCTGTGAATTGTTCAATGTGTCTTATATTGTTTTGACCCACACATCTGTTGTAGTCAGTCGTCTTTTAATGAGGTTTCACACATGTATGTGCTGTGAAAGCAGACAAATTGAGGCGATGAAAGAGATTTTAACAGACTGATTCCAGGATAAGTACTGTTTGCCCTACTGCCCAAACTGTGCAAACTGCAAAGCTGTTAATTTAACAAGTTCAGCAAAGTTCACTTCAGGTCGACCACAGCCTTTGAATGTCTGAGCAACAATAATCCAGAGCACTTCCTTATGCAAATGAGGGGAAACAACCCTTTGAATATAAGTGGAGGACATTAGCATTCAGGTTGCAAAGGGAAATTTAGAGCAAAGATGCCCTCAGGAGTATCTAAAGCTTTGGCAGTAAATCCTCTCCTGTACATAAATCAGAAGACGGTCCAGGTTTGTAGAGTCTGGCCTTGTAGTCTGAAGTTTCAACTTTACACCATCCATTCACAACTATTGATCTGCTGTGTGTGGGAAGCTGAAAGCAGGAGAACCGTACAGGGAGGGGAAGGTTAATGTGCAGCAAGCGTAATATACTACACAGGCCGGGCAAAGTAAAGAAAAACAGTCTACGCTATATATTAGAGACACAACTTGACATTAAACATACTTCACTGTCAAACCAAACAATCTGATAACACTTTACAACACTAAATTTTGAAGGAGGCAAACGTGGCTCTCGGTATCTTCCTTTCAAAAACAGATGGGAATCTGACACATTTAATAATGTGTCCCAATGATCCCAGCAGGAATTCAGTGATCCTGCTTCAGGACACAACGGCTCGATGGATGCTTGCCAAGCTGAGGGCTTGAACCCTGGGTTTTTCCAGCTGAACAGTCTCTGCAATCCATTCACATGCGGCAGGGAACTGAATATTAGAAAGCTCCAAAATACAAAATACACCTAAATCACGACAGAGATGAAATAACACCTTTGACGCGATTTCAGCAGAGACAGAACATAATAAAGCTGCACAAAGACTGCAGAGGTGAACCTAATAAAAAGGTATATCAGTGCAATCATTGCCCACATCTAGCTTCTTTAATGTGCTGATGTGTGACTCGCCTTTGTTCTATATTCATTGAAAATGTAATATTTAAGAAAACTCCAAGATATCATAGATCATCGGACAAATAAGGCATCAGGATGAGTGCTATATACTCTACCACTTCGTAAATATGATATAGATATATTCTAATAATAATAGTAACGTTTATTATCCAGACAAATCATTCATCCATCCATCCCTCCCACCATCCATCTATTGTGACCCAATAAATGGTAAAAGGCTCTTGGATCCATGTTTGAATGTGCACACCAGCTGGAATATCTCTGAATATCCTTCAGGAAGTTTGTAACTGTATCGTCTTTTTCAGTAGTTTTGCTATTTGCAAAAAAACAAACATCTTCAGTGACAACTACATTTTTACTTTGTTTGTAGTTTAGATAGACGAGCACTTTGGGTTTCCGTTAGGGGAGACACTACAGTCAGACATCTATAAAACAATCAATGAAATTTAAATTTTAAATGTTGTCCAAGCAATTTAATTATCCAACCCAAAATAAGCCAGGGGACTGATCACTTCATTGGTAAAGAGCGAGTTGCACATCCCAATATCCTTGGCTGTAATGAGCACCAGAGGGCTGATATAAAAAGCACTGTCTCCAATAGCGCTTCTCAACAACCTAAGTCCTATTCAAACAGAATCACTCCTGACAGAAATGGATTAAATTGCTTCAGTGCTTTGCCAACACTTCAACTAAAGCTGAAATCTCAAAAACAGGCCTGTGGTTAGCACATTATGTTCGCATCACATCATCGTCATCACTATGTTAACTACAGGGTCTGCACAGCCCAACGCCCCTTCAATAGCCTGTATCGTCTTTCACTGGAGTTAATCCAGCAGGAAGTTGAATTGACACCTGACCTGTCTGATCTCCCTCTATTGAAGTAAGGCTAGTATAAGCACAGGGGAGTTGAATGGACATTTACATGCATGAGATATAAAATCACACATATTCCATGTGTAATTTTATAAAAAAAATGTTCAGACACGTATAAAAGTTCTTACACTTTCCGTGAAACTATAAGACCTGGTGCATCAGGAGTTCAAAATGTTTTTTATTAATTGTGTTGTGGTTTCTGGAAGCTCCCTGCGCTGCAAGCAACACAAAAGCCCATTTTTTTGTCGAAAAATAATGAGAAGAATGCAGCAGTGCTGAAACAAGAGGATCCCGGTGGGTGAGGAGCCTCTTTTGGCACTTCTGTGTGTGCCATAAACACAACCGGAGCCTATGATATCACAGAAACTAGTTACATCTTGGAAAAGCTAATCAAGATGAGAAAAAAAAGTCAGGTCATATTAAATCCATAACTTCTTTTAATGTACTTACGAACCGTCTTTCAGTAGAGATCACCCGAATCATGGCTCCCTTTACAATCCAAGTTTAAAAGAAGATGATTACTGAGCAGTGAAGTAGCATCCCCAGTGCTCTCAATCCCACCCAGCCAGACTGCTCCTCTCCGACACAAGCCGATCAGGGACAATAATAGACGACTTCTCTGAACAACAATAGAAGACTGAAGGAGGGGCAGGCTGGATAATAGGGTTTATGTACAAGTTTGAGAGAGGCTGGGGTTAAAGGTCAACGACAGACACGCGAGTCGACAACTGCACAGAGATCATCAAATAATGAGACACAAATCACCGTGACAAATCCCACCTTATATGACGGGGGGGCGGGAAACAGAGTAATTACTGCTAAATCATAGGGATAAGTTTACTTCACCCACTAATGATTAATAGAGCCTGATGAAATGTCAGTTGGCTGATAATAGCGGAAGATAAGAGCCTTTCATATACATATCCGTATCTACATTTTACTGATATGACCCAATATAAAACTAGTATTTATAGAATAGACAATGTATTTATATACATATTCCATAAAATATATATTTTCTTCTTAAGTCAAGTTCTATATATTTTTATTAATGGTTAATTTTATTTAAGTATTTAAGTATTTTTTAAGTTTAAAGTTTATGGTTAAACTGTAAAATATCTAGCTTCAGTTCAGTTCCCCTTATTTGTCTAAGGGGTTTTGATACAACATCTTAGGAATCATTACCAATGTATAGGCACTGGGGTGACGGGTCAGTGAAAAAAGTAAACAACAGCACCGAGATCAAAAAATAATGTGACACAAATCACTTTGACAAATCTCACTTGATATGACAGAAATAATAATACAAACTTAGTAGGTATTGGTTTACTTGTAGCTCTGAATTTGTTTCAATTTTAATTCATGTTCAGGGTATTAAGTTGTATTCCTTTTTTTATTCAGTTACATATTAAAATTGTGGTTAAACTGTAAAATATCAAGCCTCAATTACATTTCCTTGCCATAAGGCTTTGATAATGACACCACCAGGACAAATTGTTTTTGATAAATATAATCAGCCGATAAATTGATTTTGGAAATGTTTTACTCTGTAATAAAATACCCCCATTATCTATATCAGTAATGATTCTAGTATTTTTTCCTTTTTGCGCCCTGATAAACTAAAACATTCATCTCAATGTCAGGCTGTTCAATTCAAATTCACCAGGTGTAACAGCCAATTCAGTCGGAAAAAGAATTTCCTGAATTTCTTTCAAGGTGGAGAAACATAAGGACACTAAGGAGCTAATAAAAGCCTGGCAGAGGCCCTAACTAACGTTATATCATCAAGCCATTAAAAGCAATTAATGGACCAATTATTACCCTGCCTTCAGTCAATTTTGTGTAAATCTGGTTGCCAAGAGGGCCTGTCTTCTGATACATAGCATACGTTAGCAAAAATGTAGGAGAAGGTATATCCTCTAACCAGAAATGACAATATCATTTTTTGTATTAATTAGCATTACCTCAGGTTTTGCTGATTGTCATGTTGGTCACTACCTACAGTGGTGCTGACAGCAAAACAGAAGGTTTAAAACAAAGTGGGAGAGCGCTGCAGTCAGTGTCTGCTGGCATTATTTATATCCTTAGCCTCAGGGCCATCCCATTCCCAGCTCCACTTGTCTCCATTGATCTGCCTCAGCCTCCCTCCAACCTCAGGACTGAGGAAAAATGACCCCCCCCTCCCTCCCTTTCTTCCTACAACACATCCCAGGACACCAGGACTCGACACACTTGATCCGTCAACTACAGTTTCACAAAAGAACTGGCAGGATAAGAGGGATTTTCCAGGATTTTCTGTGACATAAATGTGGCATCTTGCTCTTCTTTACTAGAGCCTAAGATATTCTCCAGCCCAGACTATTGTTCACTGTTGTATTACTCTTCCACTGACTTGTCTGGACTGTGTAACCACACCTATAGAACTGCACTATAGCTTTGATATATTTATCTCTACAAACGTGGTGCTCCGTGCAGGATATAAAGGTTTTTCCATGCAATTAACTTGTAGAAAAAACAAGAAGTGGAGGATGACATAGCTGCACATCTGACAGATAATTAAACTCTAAATAAATAAATAAAAGTTACATGTTGTTTTGTCCAGGCCTGCCAATCAAAGTGTCATCAATCAGGCACAACGTTTGGTGGATGCAAAGACAACATTTCCACTTTCAAGTATTAACCATAAACGCTTATTTGTGCCGTCACTAACTCGTCTAGTCTGGCTCCTTGTATCCGTTACTGGGACTAAAATGTAGTGGTCCTGGACCGGCCATCTATTAGTAACCAAGGCAACAGGAAGTCTCGGGATAAAGAACGGGGCCTGGGGGTCTACAGAGAGCGGGCCTCTTTGCCCTACAACAAACTTAATGGATGCTCAGGTCTGCAATGAGAGAAGCGTGCAGGGGGGAGGGGACTGATGGGTAGCCCAGGACTCAGATGGGCCTGTCAGCCTCCCTGTCTCACTTTCCAGGAGGAGTGGAGGAGCCATGTCTGACCACACATAAGAAACATGCATACTGTGGCAGTTTTCAGTATTATTGGCATCCTGGACCTTTGCTTCTTGTTGTTTAAGCGTGCTTCTGCAGGTGTGCTGCTGTCAAGGAAAACATAACTACTTAACATTGAAAAAAAAAAAAAAAGGGCATTATCTTATCCTCAGTGTTTAGCCCTGTCTGAATCTGTATGCAGGTATGGAAAATCCAGTGTGCAGATCAATGTACTCGTGCATATGCTTCCTCAACCGGCTGTAACACTGTAATAACAGTATTGCAAATTCACTTTCCTACATGAAATCATGGGTTTTCTATTTAATCCCTTTTTAGGTTAAATCGCACTTTTGAGGACTAACCCAACCTCACCCACCCTGTGAACTTTCCCCTTGAAGAACCTGCGGGCCTACACGCCACAGCAGACAAATGGAGCACTGCCCCTGCAGCTCTGTTGTGTGTGCGTTATAACATAAGTGTGCATGCATGTTTTGACAGTACTTACTTTCCAATCACCTCGCACAGCTCGTAGACATCCTCGAACAACACGTCGTCGTCCGCCATGGTCATGCAGGTAAGGGAGGATGCTCTCCTCGGGAGGTTTAGGGGGAATCAATAATAACGTGTTTCTATTGCTGAATGGTGGTTCTGCTGCACACTGGTGGTAATTCAAACCCCCTTCCCCTCCAAAATGTCAGTGTCAGGGAAATATACCACTGGAGAGCCACCGAGGAGTCCAAGTTATCCCGCTAGCAACATTAGCTAGAGTCCGAGGCTGTCACTCCCGCGGCCCCACCTTCTCCCGAGCTATTCTCCCGGTAGCCTGGCTAGCCAGCGAACTAGCTTAAACAGCATCCACGGAGCGGAGCCCAGGGCGTGGAGATTTCCTCGCTCGTTTGCAAACGAATAACAGTCCGCTTTGCATGCCCCGCTGCTGGGTAGTGCCAGGTGCGAAACCCCCGCGGTAACATCCGCCAGACACGAAGCAAAGATGCTCCTCTTCTTCACCGCAAGCTAACGGGGGCTCTGGAAAATGGTCGGCTAGCCTGGTTAGCAGTCGATGGAATCACCGGTTGGTTCTCGCCGTGTACACCCAGTCGTATCAGCGATGGCTTATCCCAGAGAATACGCGATGTGACCGGGCTGCAGTGTGCTTCAGCTTCCCGAGCCCGAGTGGAAGAGCTCCGCGCTCATATCGACGACGGTGTCCGTTGCATGCACCGTCCGTGCTTGATAATTCTACCGTGCTCCGGTGCAGCCTTCCCTCCGCTCACCGCCGCTCCGGTTCCCGTGCTGTGGCTCGGATGCTGGCTGGCTTCGACTGGCTGTTCCCCCCCCGACTTCCACCAGCGCCAGGCCCCGCCCTCTGTCGTCCAGGAAACTGGCGCAGCCGGAGCCAAAATGGCGCCCCCCTCCCGGTCCCCGTTGCGTTTGGCTTCGGCGTCGCCTCGAGCCAAGATGGCGTCCCCTGCGGGGTCAGATTTAGGCGCAGTTTCCTAATCTCCTCCAACGATTGCGTCCAGCGTGCCTTGCGCATGCGTGCAGCGTCCACAGCCCATCACCTTACGTCAGCCTTTCCCCTGTTATCTCCATCCTTTCAACATGCAGTTTATTTCTCTCTGGATATCTCACCTCTGTCAGTAATAATGTAGCTCCAGCATTCTGCCTGTCAGCAACACCAACAAACATTTTAGTGCATTTTATCTCACACACATTACACATGTGTAAAATTGCAACATGCAGTGATTCCCAAATTCCCATGGGTCGTTAGGGAGGTTCCCTCAGCAGAATGAGGGGCAGTTTAGGGTCTATATAATGAGATAGTAATACAGATGGGATTGTTATTACGATCAACTTTAATCACTGGACTCTGTGTGATTATAAAACATATATGAAGCATTTATTTTACAAATCAAGCGAAGCCCCCAAAGGCATTAGGTGTGATAAGTGTGCAGTTTTACTTTGAATTAATTTACCTCCATGTTATCTGTCTGCAGGTGCAGGAGTTGTGCAGGTGCATGGACGCAGGTGAAGTTTTCTCAGGTGTGGGAGGATGAGCCCTGAGATGTGTTGATGACGCCACCTAGAGGTGATGAAAGGAATCATACACCTCCCAACATGCACAGCGGAAGCACAGAGTGAGATAAGAGATAAGATAAGATAAAAAATAGATGTGATGTGGCAGTGGGAATCACAATGAGGAAATGTAATAAGAATTTAAATAACAAAAGAAACTGAATATGAAATAAAAAATAAAAATAGAATGCTTATTGCAATGTAGGCTGTTATACATGTGCAATAAAAACGTAAAAACAGTGTAATAATCATTCCTCTCATTTTTCTGTATCTACCTCCTACACACACACACACACATATATATATATATATATATATATATATATATATATATATTGCAATATTTATATTCAGTCTTTAGGTGCAATACTTTCTGAATTGTTACATCCCAATGTATATTCTCCACGCTCATGTGCAATAATCACTGTGAATTTTCAGGTATCTTTGTATATTGTTTAAATTTTTCTTTATATATATATATATATATATATATATATACATATTTATATTTTTATTCTTTATTTTATTTCTATATTTTTATGAATGCCCTTCTGCTGCTGTAATGTTGAAATTTCCCCAGTGTGGGATGATTAAGTCAATCTTATCTTATCTTATCTTAAAAAAAACTATGTTATTGTGCAGTTTCTCCCAATTCTATTTCAACATGCAATGTTTGCATCACAGTCATACTTAATGTTATTAAGTGCAGGTACTAAAATACACTAACTAAAGAGAAGAACTAACAAAATCAAAGTTGGAGCTGAGAGACAGAAATAAAGAAATAAACGTTCTCTCAGGCAGAAACTTGAACTTGCAGATGGTGATAAACAAAGACATCTGGTGCCACTAGAGTGTGCTGTTCTCTGATGGCACCCTCTGCAGTTTCCATGGTGCTACATCCCTTCTGTTCATCATCTGAGAGCCTCCCCCATTGGTTGAAGTTTACCCCAGCAGGTACCAATACCACGATTGGCTGTTGATGTGGTCATCATACTGTATGTATGGCAGTGCATGTTCTGCTGAACAGCCTTTCATTCAAAGATGCTTGCAAAAACATACAGACGCATGCACACAAGCTCTCAGAGTTATATAGTAAGAAAGACAAATGTGTGAGGAAGTTATGTGAGACAAGGAGGAGGTGAGACAGAGTGAACAGAAGAATAGAAATGAAATAAGGACGACTCAATACATGGGGAGGAGTGGGAAAGTGCACAGTTTCCATGGTAACTGGGAGGGGACCTGTTTTGTGGTTGCATGTAGAATCTGCAGTTTGTGAAACATGTGCACACACCAATACAAACTTGTCTTGTTTTCTTAGGAGGACGTGTTGAACTGCAGTTAAGTAAATTATAGGGTATAATAATTCCCCAGAGACGCAAATTAAACTATGTCCACAATACATCTACAGTATCTCCACCCCTCATCCTAATCTGAAACCAAATGTTAACCCTAAACTGTGTTTGTTTTGAATTAGGTTTGTTGTCCCCAAATGGAAGCTCTCATAATTTGGTTGATTGCATTGTCTTATTTTATGAATATATATTTACAGGTGCAATTTTTACTTCCTTCCTTTAATTCCTCTTTCATTCCCTCACTTTCCCAGAGCTAGGTGGCATCGGTCCTAAAAGATTTTAGTACTTTAAGCTTTTTGACTTTTGTATTTCGTAAAAGGGTATACATATAAAGTTGATACACTAATACCAACTGTTTAATCCTGCATTACAAAAGTCTTAATTCTCTGTCAACTACCAATAATAATATTAATAGTATTAATAATAATAATAATAATAATAATAATAATAATACAATTTAACATTTAAACTTCCTTTGTATAAAATCAGATTTTTGTCAAAATCCAATGTCCATGAAAAAAGATTGAAACGAATAAAAAGTCCACTTCCTGTTTGCATTGATGTGATTGGCTCATTCTAACCGCGCAGACTCATGGGAAAGCGCAATGTTCAAATTCGTTTCCGGTTTCATTCGGTGCGCTAAACATGGAGCGACCTCAAAACAGGTAAAAGTCTCATCCTGTCTGTTTCATCCTGAAATTATACAGTTTTATTAATCACATTTACCTTCATGGCAACTAAACCACAGGATTAGTCCGCAGCGTGTTTCTCTGCTGCTTAATACACGATACTTTCCACTGTTACCCGTATGAAGAGACGACCGAACCAAATGACATTCATAAATCGCGTAGTTGGATTTTACTCCGTTTTTTCTGAAATGCGCCAAACTAATAAATGTCAATTCGAGACAATGTTTTAATCTTTAGCGTTCTCCTTTCAATTCGGCATAGATAATATCCTACGGGAGCACTTAACTAAATCTAAAATGTGAATTCTAATGTCTCTTCTCGTGTCTCTCAGACGTCTTCCTCCAAAATAAAACAATAACAGAAGCCTAAACAGACACTCAACGTGTTAAATCAAGTGTTTTATGTCCAACTCTAATGACGAAATGAAGCTTTATCCAAGATTTCGTATTGAATTTCACTCGCAGATCTATATAAACAAGAAAGATGTCCACATTCAGAATCAGATTGTGATGTCTCTTTACCATGTTATTGCGAGGAGAACATAATGAAGCTTGCTTGGAAAGTTTTGGTCACTATATTCTAGTTGTTTCCAAATAAAAACTAATTCAAGAGAGGCCAACTGGTTTTCAGATAATATTTCATCTAAAATCTATGTGGAGTTCCTTGGTTTTTATAAAAGTTAAAAAATTAATAGTTTAAGAGAACATGGCTGCAAAAGATTATATAGAGTATTTTAACTATTTGTATTTGTACAACAATTTAGCTGCAAGTATAAAAAAGAGTGATAATTACAGGCGTTAGTGTCTGGGACAGTAAACTCGAGAAGAAACCGATGCCACGATGGTGTGTGTGATTTCCAGTGCGGTGAGGACTCCCCTCAACAGTGTCATTGTCCAGAGGAGGAGCAAAAGCAAGAGCTACCGGCAATCGTACCGCAGCTGCTTAGGTGCTGCCTCCCGGCTCGGCCTGACTCCAGCGTTGACAGCACGGAGGCTTAACACCAGCAGAAAAGCTCCAAAGTCACATAATATCAGCGTGAGTCAATCCAATCCATTGTTGTCCATGTTTTTTAATCATTCTTTGTTCCGTTACACATGCTTAACATGTACAGAATGGTCACCCTCTCTATCTTACCTTCCCACAGGAGAAGGTGAATCCAGAGCATCTGGCCTTGCTGTTGAAAACAGAGTGGAGGCTGTCATACGTCACTCCTCTGTATAAATTCAGACACACTCAGCTGAAGAGCTACTCCAGGCAACTATCAGCGTTTATTGCTGCGGAGAAGCAGCAGGGCTTGGCAGTGGAAGTGGAGGGATTGCAGAGCGGTTTCAGGGTGTCTCTCTCTGTGGTGCAGGGGTTGACGGAGACGGTCGATGACGCGGAGACCGTCCTCATACAGGTGAGCACTCTGTAGAAGCATGAGACTTTTCAGGCCCTCGTCAGTCAGTCGTGGTACATGGTACAGTATAAAACAATACAGGTTTGTATTGTATTTGAGAATGTCTGGTATTCTTTGTTTATAACTGTTACCTTTGCCTCAACAGATCCATGCAAACCCTTTGTTTGCCAGACAGGATGAACCCCAGAGGTCGGTGTGGAGCGGCTGGCTGACCTGCATCAACGGCAACACGGATTACCTGCACTCCCTTCCTAAAGACTTCACCTGTCTGCCGCTGTTCGGCTGCAGCGGCTCAGAGGTTCTCACCGCTTTGGTCAAATCCTGGTTCCAGCAAACATTTGACTGCTTCTTCGGGCCCCTGGAAATAAACCACACCAGTTTGCAGTGGATGGTGGCTTTATGGATTAACTGCCACACGGAATCCAGCATTAAGCACCTCAAAATGATCTGGACTGTCCCTGTTGTGCCACCAATACAGATCACCTACACAGTTGACCCCCAAGATGCCTGGGAGCTGTGGTGCAGTTTGAGGACGGGTCAGCAGAAGGAGAACGAAGGAGATGAGGAGGGGAGTAGTATTGATATTAAGGAGGTGATGAGGCTCATGCAGGGGCTGATGGGACATTTCTTCAGACACTTCAGGCTGGATCTGTCAGCGGGATGTTTGAGGCAAGTCACAACGGCACTGGGTTCGGCCAAGTGTAATGGCAGGATCAAGGTACGATGTGACAGTAACGGCTGTTTTCATAAAGTTGTTCACTTTCTGGCTAACAGAATAATAGTTTTTCCTCTTTTCTTTCAGATTTCCAACAGCAGATACATGATCACCACCCTGACTCTACTGACAGAGTGTGCCCTCCTCAAAATGCCCATCTGAATAAAGACTTTAACAGGAAGTGCAATGTTGCAAAAGCAGAATTCATTTGAGAGACAGCTGCTTTTATGAGTCCTTTTTCTTTTTTCAAACAACCATGCTTAACTTTTTTTAATAAAATTACCTTTTTTACCTTTCGACATGAAATGGAATAGCATTTTTTCACCATTTTAAATTCCTTGGAGATATTTTCCTTTCACCCAAACCACAATTTAAACACAGCTAATCTTGTGGTTGTAATTATTGTTACTATTATGTTTTTAGGAAAAGTTCTTATGTTTTAACTTGACCCTGTCGTCTACTTTGTCTGTTAAGCAAAAATGCTTAGGTTCCACTGTTTCTTGTAAATACTATATTTTATTTGTGTCCAGTTTTTAACTTTATCTTGTCATTCTTAATTGTAAATAAAAGCAAAAAATGACACAAATGTTTGGGAATACTGTACAGGTTCCAAGTGGGTTTGCAGTAAGACAAAGTAGGTATTTCCCAGAGTTATGGTGCTTCTTATGGTGAGATCGTCATTTTTAAATTTTTAAGAAATAATGCAGGTATCTTTGTCAAACTCTAATTCGACTAGTTTGCAAACACTCAGGTGCAATTGAACTAACGATGGTGCAACCACAGTCCCTTCCTCCAATTTGATATTAACTAAACTACACAAAAAAATTATAATTCTTTTATAATGACAACTCCAGACAAACATATTCTCTTTTTCATTTATTTTAATGTTTCTCAAAAGAAAATCTGGCAACTTTAATTCAAAAGACACTCAATGGATATCACACAGCTCAAATGAGGTTATCAAAACAACTTTAAGTAGGAACAATGAGGGAGTAATGAAAAAACAAAATGCCAGTTGGAGACAAAAGAAGCTCATCAAAAACAAAACCTTGCATCTGAAACTTGCACCTGTATATTGCACTGTAAGTAAAAGGCAAGAAAAACCAAATAAGCAACTTGTGATTAATTCAACTTATTCTGAGTGGATATTGGACATGATGATGCACGACATCGCAGCATCGCTTTTGCGTTGTTTATTCCTACACTGACTACTAAATGCATAAGGACAATAGAGAGGGTGGAGGAGTCACAAATCGCTGCTCCATTATGCTCTTTAATGACAGGACTGGTTTCTCTTTTGGTATCTGAGCTTCTGATGGTAGTAATTAGTGTACAGCAGATCCTCATCCTCTGCCAGTAAAGTACACAGTGTGGCTGAGGATTATGGGAATTTGTTTTCAACAGTTGTCATTAATTTCAACCTAGAGATAAATGGATGAAATATTTAGCTTTATCCATGTGATATGTGTTTTATATTATTAAGAACTCCTGCTCAGAGTGGAAAAATACTTTTGTTTAAACTCCCATTCAGTGTGAAAGACTTCAAAAACACAGTTGTGTTTGCTCTGGCGCTTAAATGGCACATGAAATTGCCAAACTTTGCAGCTAAATAAAAAAATACCTCAAAGCAACAAGACTGGGGATAAGTGTTAACTTCCCACTTTGCTGCCTCCGTGTTTACATAATATTTTCTCTTGTGTGGGTATTTACAGCTCTGAAAAGGGGGTTGGCTCTATATTGTCAGTGGCGCCTACACACGCCATCTTATAACAATATAAGGTCAGCATCCACCAGACAAATATACATGAGGGGATGACGACGATTGAGACATATCTGTGCTTGTTTGTGGCAGCATGGCATATTTAACAAAAGAGTCTTCACAGTACAGTCCAAGAAATCAAATTCTCCAGTGACTCTCACACAAACTTCAGAATGTGTACTTAACCCTCCAAATATGATTAACTGCTATTGATTTAAAAGTATAAAACAGTTAATACCACTGTCACAACACATCATGCTTTAATGTTCAACATAACCCCCGTCCATAAATAAATGCACTCAAGGGGTGTTGAGGGGTAAACAGCAGAGAGGAAAGTGACCTATGTAGCGATGTGATTCACAGTAAGTGGAGACTGCGGCACCCGCAGCTGTGTTAGGACGCCAAACCCAGAAAGAAGCCGCCGACGAAGCCGCTGGACATGACGATGTTCCTCTTTATAAAGTCTGTGGCCTGTGTAGGAGAGAGAAGATGGAGAATGAGTCGATAGGAGATTAAAATGAACAGATTAATCGATGAATATGTGTTCACTGGTTGAGTGATGCTGGAGAAATGTAGCCAGGATGGCAGAGGGAATTTTAAAGGGAACTACCACATAATTAAACCATCTACTGACTGAAGTACCATATATCCTCAGTGTGTATACACCACCAAACACCCATAATGGTGTGAAAATGTATCCATCTACCACCTCTCTTCAGCCTGCTGTGTCACGGGTTGTGAGTGTATTACAGCAAACAGTACACTAGATGGCATTGCTGCTTTGAAGATGAAGCGTTAAACCCCCCCACCACGAGCAGGACGTCAAAGAAAAAGTCATGAATTTAGTTTTACATATCATGAAGATGTTGGATATGTAAGTAGAGAGGGGCCTTTTTCTATCAAACAGAAATAAATTATTCATTTAGTCTACTAAAAATGAGCAAAAGCATGAAAGACAAAGCAAGCTTTGTTCCAGGTACCTTTACCTCCTCAATGAATGTGTTTATTTCAGGGACGGCTTTGTTTGCTCTCTTCTTCAAGTGTTTTTTCGCTTTATTCACATCCTTCTCCACCTTCTTCCAGTCCACCTGCACGTAGCCACTATGATTGGCAATCTGTAGAAAATAAATAAAGTCATATTCAAAATGTATGTATTTAATAACGCTTTTATTTTATTCCAGAATTGTTTTAACCCCAATTGACCACTTTGAAGCCTTCTGGAAATATTTGGTTCCAATGTGAACTGCACAATACTGGTCTTATTAAATTATTTTTCTCAGTGCTACTGTATATAGAATCACCATCTGACGGGTTTGGATTTGTTCTAGAGAGAATTAATCGATACTTCATCTAGACCTGTCAACAAAATGAATTCCCCTTATGTAACTTCTACAAAAAAAGTACAACATTTCAGTAAAAAACACAGATGTGTGATGCACAAGCCATTTTCAAAATAGATTCAAAAGTATTCCAGGAACATTTATCCTGGGAAGCCTTGAGTTTATTGTTTCTTTCTGGGTGACAAAATCTGCCTTCTTTCAACACAAAGGGAGATTTTGTCCTATTAAAATAATAAAAAGCAAAAATACAGAGATGCAAGGTCCGTTCAAGGCACATTTTTTAGATCACAGCTTGACAATTTTTTTGTGTCATATCAACCCTGAAAATCAAGGTATATGACTTGATCTACAGGGTAACAAGTTAACTGACTGTCTTTGGTATAATCCAAAGATGCGGAAAATAAGACAATGGTAGTATTGTAACACCCCATAATATTCCAGATGGCCTTTTCTTTCTACTGTAGAGAATGGACAGGCTGACCATCATGCTGTACAGCTGGCATCTTCGGTTGTCAGAGATGTAAGTGGGCAAAATATGAATCTTAAAGACTTAAAGACAGTGCTAATGGTATGACTGCTCACAGTCAACCACATGCACCTAATATATCACTCAGGTTTAACTAATTTAACTGTGCAATAATCATCTTCTTATCTAGTACATGTACCGATGTTTCTATTTTACTGACCTCTCTAGTGGGACTAATAAAAAGATGATCTTAATCCTAATATTTAATTATTGAGGCTACACAAACACTGTGTTATGGTGCCCTTGCCTGTAATAGAAGGAACCCTCCACCAACAGCAGTTGCAGCTATCTTCCCAACTCTCTGGAAGAGGTACCCAGCACACCTGTGTATGTTGAAAAGAAGGGAGGAGTGTTTAAATGGTAAAAACTATTTAATGTGAAGAGTACAGACAGATATTGAATGGAAGTGCCTGATTTATAGGGGAGTAATTACACATCATGAGTACTCAGTCATAGTTTTTCTTTAAAATACACTGCACTGATAGCAGTATGTTTCTAACACATTAACAACTTAACTCTTTTGTCAGAAATAGTAGAAATAGCTGATCCAGATGTGACGTCCAGGCCTTACCATCCAGTCACCCCTCCCATCGCAATCTGAGTGGCAACAGAATACTTCTCAGCAATGGGGCCCGAGTTGTTCCCGAACACCCTGCTCCACCACTGGTGCCTCCGGGCATATTCGGTCAAGTCCACGACTTCATACACCTCATCTTCACTCTCTGGGTCATCCTGACCTGCAGTGACACAAGAAAATATAAAGTTTTCCACAAACCTTCAGATATGTTGCCACTAGCCTTTGAGAATAAATGAGAATTAGGGCTTTTAACACACAGTTTACTTGTTTACATTATAAATGTATTTCTAATTGAGCCTTCTAGGCTGTACAGGAGGCTAGCTGCTCCATTCAATGCAAATGACTCAGAAGGCTAATGTTAGCTGGCTAACGTCAAATGGCTACCAATTCATCATGAAGCACACTCATATTTCCTTTTGGGGCAGTTGCAAACATAAATGTCGAGGCCATGTAACACCATTATCTTCTCTGGTGGGAAAACTGTGTAATTTGAAGCCGAGTGAAGTTGACAGAGCGGGTATTTTATATCAAATACCATCACTAACCTTCTCTGTTGTCCACCGTCGCCATTTTGGAGAGACCCAGCTATCGCACCAGGATGTTGACAATGCGAGGCCACGCCCACGCGATGATGCCGTGCCACGTCAGTTAAAAATGCTCTGATCTTGCAATTTAAGCAACTTTATTAGTGAAATAATGCAACTTTCCTGAATAGCATGCGCGATTAATGTTAAATTAAAATGCTAAAAACATTCGCTGCGCGGCGTGAAAGCGGCAGAGCGACCGGTTTACGAGAAGGCGACATGCAAAGTGTGAATATATTTTATATATTAGTTTATTTCACTGTGTGGAAATGATGCATTCGTGAGGGGGAAGATGCTTTTGCACTTTGTTGCACACACAGGTTCGTGCATGTGATGGTTTTTAAAGTATTAATAAATGAGTTATTTTGCAGAGGAGAATGTGAATATTTGAGATAAAAGAATGATTATAGCAGGGGGAGTCATGTGGTAGGATGCGGCTGCTCCCATTGGCTGGGGAGGGGGGAGAGGGCGTGGCCACAGCGGCGCGTGGGTTCGCTTAGGTGACACAATTATAACAACTTTTATCTTCGCGGCCGAAACGCGTTTTTATTGCGAAATACTCACATCTGGGAACTAGCGCGCAGTTATTTCGTTCAAACTGCGGCGCAGGATCACTTTGTGATGAACGATGTGACGTTTGAGGAGCCACCCGGAGAGCGCGTCTGTCCCCCCGAAAGGATTTACTACATCGAATCGCATCTTCTCATCCTGGGAGAAAAGTTTTCCGTCGTTTTGTTCCCCGCGGTTTTTCCTATTTGATTCGGCCGGAGCCGCGCGTTGTGCCGCCGCGTCGCGATCTCCCATGCAGTCGTGCGGTGTGTCTCTCGCCGCCGCTGCCTGCGCTGCCGCCCGGAGTCTCGGCTCGGCTTCTTCTGGTGGTGATGAGGGAAAGAAAATGGCGGCGGGAAAAGCGAGTGAAACAGAGGAGGACTTCCCGACACTGACAGCCCCGGAGAGGGACAGTTTGGCCGGGATCGACAGGTCGGGAAAGTCGCGCCGTGCACTCACACGCGCGCTCAGTGTGAAATTAAATTGTTTTGCGCCCGTCGCATGTCGAGAATGTCCCCGATCCCTTCTGCCACTGATACTGAGCCGCCTATGTTGTCTTCTTGTTTGCAGCTCACTGTTTGGATTTCAGAAGCTTCATGAAGATGGCGCCAGAACGAAGGCCCTGTTGATGAAGGTAGCGAATCTAACTGGATGTTGTTATACAACCCGATTCCCCCTGCACTTCCTCCAGCCTTCCCCGCATGCACGGCGGTGAATTTGCTCTCTTAGCAGCGAGCCTGTGTGATCGCGAGTGGCCCTCTCGCTAAAGACACCAAGGCCAGCTAGCCCCCCCAGTTAGCCTATGAGCTAGCTCGCTAGTTAGCTCCTCTCATCCGATGATCGGCGACCCTGCACCTGCAGCTAGCCAAACTAGCCATGCCTCTCTCCTTGTAACTAGCCTGTTAGCACCCACATATCGTAATATTCTCGAGGCTACCACCCTTCCCTGTTAGCTGGCCAGCTATTCCACACAACGTATCCATGTGTGCTTGCAGTTGCACCACCAACAACACAACGTCGTCACGGTTTTGTGTAGCACACCGATCACTGCAAACACTGCACTCTAAAAGTTTTATGTCGTAGTTGGGTTGTTATGCAGCAGCTATTACACTCACACATGTCTCATTTTACACGTATGTATTCATAAAGGGCTATAACGTAGGTGGAAGTAACGCTAACGTAGCAGCCGTCTTCCTCTGTGCACCAAATACAGCTTTAGCCTACGCGAGGTTAGTTACACCCTGTGTGTTGTTGCATTGCTTCATGTTGTTAAGCATTGTGTTTGTGTTGTTTTCTTGACATTGCATTGATCCACTGTACCCGAGGTCGCTCTGGAGTCGGTGTTGAACGAGTTGACAAGCGTTACAAGTAACGTTAATGGCTGGCTGCCTGTCCAAGATGGCGGGACATGGCGGAGTGACACCGATGGCAGTAGAACCAATTTGATGTGATCACGCCGCTCCTGGTCGCGTGTGTGTGTCGCTGGCGTGTTGTTTTAATGCCTCACATATGATCCCAGCCCTTTGCAAAGACGTGATCACCTCACAGATTAAGGTGGCGTCAGGATCCTTTGTTTACAGTCGTCATTTGCTTCTGCATGTGCTCCCTACGTGTTAAACACTTGTACCTGTGGTCATCGCAGAGCCGGGCTAACAAAGAGCAAAAGCCCCACTTGTGGGGGATTTATCTCGATGGTGCTCTTGACAGCTGGAGGTTTTGAGGAGGGGGATCAGCCACGGATCTGCTCGCTAGGTGGTGTGGGATACCCAGGAAGTGCTGCTCCTCATCTGGGCCTTAGCTGCACAGAAGCAGCAGAAAAGCACTGGTGTACTACACTTGCATGTTTCAACTAAACTGTGCACTTCCTAATTTCAAAGCGGAGCATGCAATTCAACATGCATTACTTCTAATTCTGTTTGCATTTGAAACAGTAGTGATGCAATGTTTTTTTTAACAAGCTTTAAAGTGTTTTCAAATGCTTTGTGTAGCAATAATGCTTAAGCGCTCACCATCCATCTTGAAACAACCCGGTTGTATGTAAAATATATGTTTTGTATCGTAGCCTGTGCAGTCCATTCTAAAAACATGCTCCTTCTTGGTGTGTTGTTGTTATCTCATGTGTTACCGAAGGCTGTGGTTGTTATGGTTGGTCATTGTCACATTTTCCTGTGATATTCCCACACGTGTGCACCTTGGTATGAGCAAATCCAGGTCTTATGGGGAAAACTTATATCTGGATTTGAAATGATGCACTTAAACCAGATCTACAACATTACATCAGTCTCAGCATGTCTGTGTTCTGTTTGTCCACCGCGCACAGTGATACCAAACCAAAACCCATCCTGTCAGTGAAAATGTTGCAGTCATCTGCACAGGGCTGACCGTAAACAAATCAAGTACGTCAGCAAATGTTGAAGGATGCACACAGGATACAGTCTTTTCTCTAACATTGCAATTTTGTAAAGGTCTTTAAGCAGTATAAGACTACAAAATGTGGTACGACTAAAACTGATATTGACAGTTGAGTAAGTAATGTGTTGTTAGATGTCAAAGTGACAAACACGGTGAATAAAACAGAGATTTAAGAGATATTAAACCCTTAGGGTTAATTTGTGGTTTAGTACCTTTTAGCACACAGATCAGGGGAGATTGGGCTTGAACCGTCAACCCTCTGGTTAGTGGACAAGCTGCTTTACCTCCTGGTAAGACTGATGCTCTACCTACTGCAAAACAGACTTCCGAGAGAAAATATGTCAGTTCCATTGCAAGTAGCAAGAAAGTAGAAAAAATCATGACAGAAAACAAAGTATGACACTTTGTGAAACTTTTTGGTTGTGAGGACTATACCTTTGGACAAATACATTAGTATTTTACTTTCTTTTTCTGTTTGTTCCCATGCCAAAAAAACAAAACGAGTCTTGCATCACACATAATGCATTTGTGAGACATTGACCCATCGGAGTGGTGAGCAATACTCTGCATGTGCAACCAGAAAATGCTAACATTTCTGTGCACTTCATGTATGCCATACGATGAGAAATGATTGGTTAATCGAAATAAGCTGTAGATAATTGGTTGCAAAAGCGTAAACACTATTTCGCTATATGATACTTGGGTTGTTATTTTGGGGTCGCAGGGGCTCAGGAGATAGAGCAGGTTGCCCACTAACTGGATGGTTGGCAGTTCAATTCCCTTCTCCTCCATTCTGCATCTGGGCAAGCTTTGTACTGAATCTGTTAATGTGATCAAATTTCTGATTTTGCCACATTCCTCATTTCAACATTTAGAGGGTTTTATGTGTTTGATGGAGTCATTTCTGCTCATCGCTCATTAGTTTTGACTGACTACCCTTGTTGTAGTGATCGCATCGCCTCACTGTTGCTCTGTGTACATGCAGATAACGTTGGGTCCGACATTGCTGACATTACTAGGTCACTTTATCATCACCAGGAACTGGATTGCAGTGATGCAAACATAGAATAACTTTGCCGAAGATAAGCTTTCAAGGTGGGTGTCCTGTGAATTTTATTATCAACGTGTGTCAGCATTGTCGATAACGTTTCTGTGATGGTTGCACAGGAAGAAGGGTCTTTAGGTTGAATGCTACGGCCTGGTTGGTGGAAGTGTGCGCGCCCTCCCTTTGTTTCCTCCAGGCTGGGAAGGCAGTGCTTAAAGACATGTAGTTAGGACTGCACATGCATTGCCCTTGACGAAAGCACTGGCTGTGCACTGTGCAGCAGCTGACCTCTGTGCTGAAATACTTAGGGGAGGTTGTTTGCAGAGGACGTGTTGTCCCGCAGGGTTAAATAAAGTTTATCTTAAATAATAATATTTGCAAACAGCCACTTAGCATTCTGGTTGACTCATAAGCATGCACACAGGGCAGAGGAGTCAAATGCATAATGTTGCTGGATGTGTCATTGTCTTTTCATTTGTACTGTTATTGAATTGGCACACACCTAGTTTGAAATCAGTCGGGGTTTACAGCTAATAGGTCTGACAGCACCATAGCACCACTTAGCATCTCCAGCCACACCACCTACTGTTGTGTGCTGTGATAATCTTGTTGTGTTTGGTCTGAGTGATTAAAAATGTTTAGATAAGTTTATATCGCCGTCTGCAAATTAAGCAGCTGATTGGTTGATATAAAAAAACATGTCACCGACTGCATCAATCCCAAAATAAAATGTCTGTATTGCAGCTCTCGGCGTTATGTCTGCAGGTTTCTTATTTATGGTATTGTAAGAATAACTCAGTGAGTTACATATGCAAATGATAAAAGTTCATCATCACAGATTCAAAAATCATATAAAATCCATTATATCTATTAAACAGTTAAGGCTGCTTGCAGATCCTGCTCATTAATTAGCAATGGCCTCCACCACACAACAAGATACTATGAAATAAAGTGTTTGGCAAAACATCTCTTAGAATAGACCTTGAAGTATTAGATTTAATTAAGGCCCTGTACTTAGACATACTGCAAATACAAAGCAGACCTCATTGATGTCAGTAGTAAAACATGTCTCTTTTACTATTTCATGGCAAAATAGATGCTTTGTGCAATTATCTTTGCAGGGTGGAATGATTCTCCCCAGCATTTTCACATTCTTGTGTAATATCTTCTCGCTAGGCCCGTTACTGTTTGACCCAGTTCCCAACTCATATTAGGTGTAGTGTAATTGCTGATAACACTGCTTGCATTGTTTGTTTTAGTTTGTGTCTGAAAGGGTGTGTCTGTTTTCATACAGAAGAAGTTTGTGACACATTGTTAACTAGACATCCTCTTTCAAGGTAGTGTAGAAATTGTTTGAACAGTGAGCTAAGGCAAGAACTACATACAGGTGCATCATGGTATATGTGAATGCATGGTTGATAAAATAATGTACACAGCGATGGTGCCTTAAAAATCATATATAACCAGATCAGTATAGGCATTCATTTGTTGTTACTGAGTGAAGGGAATATTATAACCACTCTGTTTGGCAGCCTCTAACATAAAGTCAATGTTTGACTGTTTAATATTTTCAAATCCTATCTAATGTTCTAGGTGTGTCCATGAATTTTGAGTGATATTACTTCCAATTTAGGTTATTCTTCCTCATTGACTCATTAGACTTGGAACATCGCAATTGTATCTCCTGGAAACATTACATTGGTTTTAATCAATTGAGAATTTTGACTTACTGGAGTTTTCTTCACCTCGTCAGATAATCATAATTAATTTATCCAACTTGTGTGGTGAATTTTACCTGTGGTCTCTGTGCTTTCCTTTGAGATTTGGTCTGATTCAGTAGAAAACCTCACTGTGATTTGTCTCCACGTAGATTTGTGTCCACATGCAGTCGGATACTTCATGTACATGTTGCAGGGTTTGATGAGAATAAGCATCTTTAGCTGAATGATGGTTTAGTTGCAGTTGAAGAAATAAATTTATGATAAATGTTGACAAAAATTTTTTTAATTTAACCCATTTTGCCCATGTGCAGTTCCTTTAAGATGTATCTACACATTGATGCTCCCTCAGCCCTCTTTTGAAAACCCTTTGTTCAGCACAATCACTGCTCTCTGGCACAGCAGCAAATTACAGAACGTAAACAGTGATTTCATGTAGCTGTATCTAACGTAGTCTTCAGTAATGAGATGATGCATCCTCCCAGGAATGGAGTGAATGCAATAAAAGCCTGATAGGAACTAATCACGTACGATGGATCTACATGGTGAAGAGGTAAAACAACAGTGAAACTCTTGACGCTCTCCTGTAAATCAAAAGCCACACTGTTGTTACTGAGGGACGCCGTTCAACCGTTTCTTACTCAGTCTCCCACATGGTTGCGTAATATACAAACTGCTGCCACTGAGTGTAGCGGTCTGTGATCATGAATGAGAACCGCTCTCTGCCACTTGTGTTCTTAAGAGTCATCTGTCTTCTGAGTGCAGTTTCTGCCTCTTCATGTCTGAAGAGGAACAACTTGTCTCTATCATAGTTGATGTGATGGCACCACCCACGAAGGACAAACAGCCGGCCTTTGTGAGTGTGTGTGTAGAGGGGTTGAAAAAGTGGTTGATTTACCATGAAAACGACTTTTAACACTTCTGTGTAAACTTGGATGCCATTTACACATGCAGCTGCTTCTCCTTGGGTTTGAATGGCAGTATGGCTCCCGGCATTGGGAGACCAGCTGACTTATCTTTGATGCGTTCTCAGCGTGGCACCAGAGACTCCTCGTGTGCCAGGGAGGTCACTCGTGTGGGTTTGCCTTGGTAGGGGAAAGGATGTGGACAATACGACCAATTTCTTTTTCACAGCTAGGACTAGTTCTGTGGGCTCAGGCTGTCGAGAGAAATCTCATTTTCACCGCATAGCTCGAAAACTGGCAAGGTCACTGGCACCAAAAAGAGATTGAGCGGGTTTAGTACACCTTGGTGTTCTTTCTGTAAATCAATGTTCTTGGTTGATGGTTTAAAGGGAGGTAGAGTGCAGCAGGGAATCCTGCTTTGGACTATTTCAAGCCACAAAAACACAGTGCTCTTTATGCGTCTTAAACTCAGAGCTTTGTTGGAAATGTAGTGATTTGATGCTCATCATACAGCGTCACGATGGACCACTGAGACTCCCGTTTGGTCTAGCGGGTGCATCGCATGGATCGTGGGAGGAAGTGGAGTGCAGTCTATGCTTGTTACTCAACATGTGTGTGATCTTACATGAGTGATGTCTCTGCTCATTATCTGCTTTAACTGTGAGTGAATTCTCAAAGTAAGAACATAGGTTTGACACTCAAACTCTGCGTTTTAATTTTGAATATTTTACTGGCATGAAATAGGGAATGTTCCCCAGGCGTTGCATTGTAGCTGTTACTGTTCCCATGCAGTGATCAAATGTACAGAACATATTTCCCCTCAGGGTTAATGACATTGCAATAACGTTTCTGCAGTGTCAGTGGTGATAAATGATGATGCACGTCTTGGCATATGCACTCAGATTAGAAACTGGTGCATGTATGGAGACAAACAGCAGTGCAGGCGAGTGCACCACGTATAGCAGCTCTGCTTTTAGTGAAGTGGTAAACGCTGCTTTACTGCATAGATCTTGTATCGTGAATGCAGTTTACAGGCTCCAGCTGCTGTTGTGCCTCTTTTTTATCAGCACAGGAAAATCTGTAATATAAGAAGTTTAAAAATAAAAGGCCTCAAGCAGCTTTATCTGCAGCAGAGTTCATTCCAGTAAGTTGGGGCTGATATTTATCTGCTGAACAGAATTTGAGTCCACTTGGCCAGAGTTAGGAAGCTGACGTCAGCCATGCTGTGACTTTGAAAAGTTCTGTGCGACATTCCCCTTTATGATTTTCCTCCCTTGCTTTCTTCCCCACGTGCTCCTGCCTTTGCATAACAGAGGTGTGGATGTTGACATGCTTTTCTTCTCAAGTGCAATGCGTGTATGCACGTCTGACCTGTGTTGTTTGTTTCAGGCTGTCCGCTGCTACGATTCGCTCATCCTTAAGGCCGAGGGGAAAGTGGAGCCGGAGTTATTCTGCCAGCTCGGCCACTTCAACCTCCTGTTGGAGGATTATCCGAAAGGTGAGTAATTTCCTCTACAGTGGTTTGTGTAATCTACCAGTTCTCAGATGTTGTTGGTTTGACACTTTCCCTCTGTGCAACATCCACTGGTTTAGAATTGATCTCTGAGCATCGAATCTGAGATTTTAACTTTTAATTTAACTTTCATTAAAACTTGAAATGTATCATGTAGCTAATTGGCTCCATTACAGCTCCACATAAACACTGACTGCTCACAATCATTTCCTAAGTTGCCTTAATTCTCAGCCTCCCTCTCCTTTTAATTGCAGCATTATCGGCATACCAGAGGTACTACAGTTTACAGTCAGACTACTGGAAGGTAAGATGCACCTGTCTGCATGCTCAGTTTCTCATCCTTTCATTTGCACACACATATACCGTTTTTCCTCTCTCCTACACATTCATTCACTCATACACGGGAAGCATGTCTGTTCTCAATAAGTTTAGATGCCGGTGTACGGTGCGGTTTTGAGTTTCATGTCAACTCTTTTTCCTGAAAAGTGATACTTTGCAGTGAAATTGATTTCTCATTATTGGTATGAATGGCCACAATGTTCTTGTATATAAATATGTATAGCTCATGACAAATAGAGTGTGAAAGACATGATGATGTAATGAAGGTTTAATCAGCAACTTTGGGTTTAGGCAGAAGGGCCAGAAATGTACTTTATCCACAGGGAATCATGAGCGAATATAATTAAACAATAAAATATAATTTCACTGCACATTATTATTCTTTTACTATTTGGAGGTTCACTTTTGTAGATTTCTTGAACATCTAATCTGTTTGTTATGTTTCCTTTTTCCACGTCACTCAGAATGCTGCCTTTCTGTATGGCCTGGGAATGGTCTACTTCCACTATAATGCCTTTCAGTGGTGAGTGCCAACTTCCCTTTTTATTTCATTTGAATAAAAACCGTTCTGGAGTCAGTTGGAATTGAGGCTAGGATAATAAGAAGCTGGAATCAAATCAGTTGAGCTTTTTTTACGCAAATTGTAAAAATGAACCTGTTGCTAAACTAATAATTAAACTTCACAGAAGGCAAATAACACACGGTGGCAACTCAAGTGTTTAAGAGCGATGTGTTGTCCAGCCATACATGGTCAGTTGTTGTGTATGTGTTCCCGTGAGATGGGAAAAAAAACTGCCTGTGAGTGAAGCTGTCCTACAGTATGTTGTTTCCATGGTAACCACACAACCAGGGAGGAGGACTGGCGCTGGCTGAATCAACAATAATGTGTGTAACAAATAAATGACTAAAAATCAGTCAGCGTAAACCTCTGGACACATGATCAGTGTAAGGAGGAACATGTTCATCCATACATTTTTTCTTGTAGCATTTAGAAAATGAAGTTTTAGTTGATTCCGACGACTGAGACAAGCAAATAAAAAATGGGCTTCTCTCTGTTACTGAACATCTTTAGTATTCTGTTCAAGATGGCGCACATGCAGCGTGACCTGAATGAGCACTGACTGTCTGACCAGCAGAATGTGCTGCAGCTCTGGTTGTGTGCAAACCTATTGTTTGGTTCCTCCACCACCAGAAAAAGGGATCAAATGGACCTTATTTCAACTGGAGCAGCCAAGTCCTACTGTTTGTCTTCTTGTCCTATGTATTTCTTTTAAATCCCCTCCTTCTTCCTCCTCTTCATCACTTCTTCATGCCTCCTGCAGGGCGATCAAAGCATTCCAGGAGGTGCTGTACATAGACCCAGGGTTCTCCCGGGCCAAGGAGATCCACCTTCGCCTGGGTCTCATGTTCAAAGTCAACACAGACTATGAGTCAAGCCTAAAGGTAGGTCACGCCCAACGTATCCTCATATGAGGTCCTATCAACACACATTTTTGTCTAACTAGCATTAAGAATAATACTTCTGCAAGGTATGTTCTGCAAAATAAAAGCTCTGCCTTCCTGTGTGGCAGCAAGTGGAGCCGAGCATAAATGGAACAGTGCTCCCACTGTGACGATGCCTTTGTGTGACAGTCATTGATAAATGAAGCAGAATTATGCTCTTACTGATTTCTACCCATTTTCTCTGGCAGCATTTTCAGCTGGCTTTGATTGACTCCAACCCCTGCACTTTGTCCAAAGCTGAAAGTAAGCCATATCTTTGATTTGTATGTGTATATTTATGACTTAGGATTTTAATAAAAGAAATAGAAAAATATGAATAATATGTTTTTTTTATGTATTATTCCCCTAACATGCATTACAAATACATTATATATTTATTGTGATATGACTAGAAACACATGATGCCATGCTTGATGGTGCATCTTTGGAATTAGAGTGAAAGTTGTCTGTTTTATGTCAAGCTACGAATATGATAATCATTGTGATTATTGGTGGATGTTTTTCCTTCTTTCGCTGAGCTTGCTGGACGTGAATGAGCTAGTTGCGACCAGCTGAAGTAGAAACGTGTGTATGTGCTGTTAATTGTGGACACCGGTTCTGTTTTTTCTTAAAATGCAAGGTGATCTGTTTGTTCTCACAATAGTAGATGTTTCAAGTATTTAAAGTGAGCTCAACCAACCTCATTGACTTATGTGCAGTTGCAATATTCAACTTCGGTGCCGCAACACTGACCTACGCACTCTGGAGCCTGAAATTTTAATTCCACTGGAAAGATTTTGGGGACAATTACAGCTCTGCTAGGAACAGGACTGTACGATGGGGACACGAGGCAAGGAGCGCTGCACAGTTCAACAATGAATCAACCTCGGAAAAGCCAAAGCTACAGACCTTACGTTATTATGAGTGTGTAAAAGAACCTTTTTGGTTCATTATGAAACCGTGGCGGGACAAATTATAGTATGGCGGGCTGCCACAGTCTGAGTAATTAATTGAAAACACTGATGACATGGTAGATCCCTTTGCTTCACACTTACTTTTATTGACTTTTCTTCTGCTTTTAATTGAATTAAACCACATTCTTGCACACAATTTTAATAAGGACCCAGTGGATCCCATCAGGGCTGTGTGCTCTCACCACATTTATTTGTTTTGTACACAAGTGAACTCCAGAGTAATCATTTTAAAATTGCTGTGCGATCGTGAGTCTTGTAATTTGATGCGACTACAGAAGCTGGAAGTAAAAATGCAGAGTAACAGTTTTTAATGTTTGATTGAGTTTTTGTATGGTTTTTCTATGAAGTTTGGGTCAGGCCGTGTGGTAAGATTACTGCTGCTGTCCTGAATGACCTTCAGAGGACTGTTATAAAGCATTGTTTACATGTTGAGTTGCAGATTCGTCCATCAGGGTGGAGGTTTAGTCGCCACAAAGGTAGAAATATATGCAGTAATTTTTTAGACAAACTTAAATTGCTTGATGATTCATGGCAACAGTGTAGGAGATATGGATCTTGTGCTCTTTGTATTTGTTGAATTACTCTATATGTCTTTTAATCGCATCTTATTCTTCGAACTGTGTGCCTGAAAAAAACAAAATGGAATTAAATCACATAACATTGGTCCTGCGCTTGAGATTATGTCCAGCTGCCGTGTTTCAGTCTGGTATTATTTGATATGCCAGCGCCTTCTCATCTCTCCCACCACGGTACCTGTTACCTTGGCGACAGCAATATCCATTTTTTTTGCCCAGCCTCTTGCTGTTGCCTCACTGTGCCCCCCCTCCTCATTCCTGTTCTCTCTAACACACACACACACTTAGGAAGAGCAGCCCCTGTCTTTCTTCTCCCCCCTCTCTCTCCCTCCTCTCCCTCTC